TCTCTCTCTCTCTCTCTCTCTCTCTCTCTCTCTCTCGCGCGCGCGCGGGGGGGCAACATTTGCACCTGACAGCTCCCTAGTCCATACACCGGGATTTCTTTTCAGTGTATCTGTCCGTTGCGGTGTATCATCCTATGTTCTTGCGGAAGATTCCTTCTCATTTTGCAGATTAGCAGACTGCTCAGTTGATGCACACATGAAATTGTTGAATTGCACACGTGAGTTTGAATCTAGCGCGACCACAATGAAATAGTTCTGATTTACAAAGGATCTGTCAGCGTGCTGATGCCTTGACCGATGCCCCATGAATGCTTCCCGTCCCTCATGTTCTAAAACAAACGCCCTCGATCTCGCCCGGGCCAGATAATGGCCGTGCCTGTGGTGGAGCTGGCGCTGGGCTGCGGCTTCGCCACGACGGGTTCACTTGTGTATATAAACTAAGCTATAATCTTTTGTCAATTTCACCTCTCACTACCTACCTACCACTACTCCGAAGGGGTAGCTTTCACATTGTAGGAAAGCTTGAGGAAAATATAGATAGGAACATGAGTGGACTTGAATCAATAGTCTGCGATGTTCCTTTCCTTTTCTCAGTTTTCAATTTAGTAAAGCTCAAGAAAATGTTCGACCGATTCTCCTTGTTTTCCTGTTTTCCTAGATGAAAAGGAATCAACGGAATAACGAAAATTTGTTCTAGTGGACTAAAAGTATAAAACCCGTTACGAGTTCTTTGTTTTTTTTTACGGAGCTTTGGTCTCTCAAAGCCAAAGCAACCTTTTGTAATGTACTCATGGCATAAGAAAGCAAAGGTTGTGTACTCACCTGCCAGAGAAAAGATTAATCACTACAGTTATACTTTTTCCTACTTTGTCAAGCTTCGCTTTAGTTTCTGGTGTTATGGTTATATATGATGGAAACCCAGTTCATCCCATTTTGATTCTCATTTTAGTATTTTGTAGTACTTCAGGTTTACTCGTGTTATCAGGTCTGGATACCGTAATGTCCTAGAAGAAATCCCAAAACCTGGAAGCAACCATGGCCGAAAGGGGAGACCAGTCCACCAATTGGGGTCCAAACGGGGACAGAACACAAAACTACCAGAAAGCAAATCCCCTATGAGGTTATCCATGGTTATCATTGTTTGGAAGTAAGAGAAACATCTCTTCCCTAATCCCCTATAAGAAAATCCCAAGAAGTGGAAGCAATGATGGTGAAAATAGAAGATCAGCCAACCATTTGGGCCAAATATAGGAGGCCAAAAATGGGACTGGGAGATCGAAAATGGGGGGCCAGTCTTCCCATTCCAGGAAGAGTATTTGGCTTGTGGCGCGCGGGCTTACATGCATGAACGGGTTCCTGAGGCCCTTCCTTTTCTTGGGGATGCTTTTTCGATGGGCGGGGTCGAACTTATCCAGTTCCAGTTCCTCCACCCGGTCCAGATCGCATTCCCGACAGGTGATCACGTCGGGGTTCAGGTTGTCTCGGTCGACATGGGGTTGTAATTCTGGTTTTCCCGAGCTCGTCGCTATTCGCAGAGCTTGTCCTTGATGGGATCCAATGGATGGGATACAACAGTCAATCATGTCCCTTCATTTTGCAATTTTTGGAATTGTCCTTGTACGCTGTTGCGATTTTCATTTAGGATTTATCAGCGCTTTAGTGAGCGCGCTCATAATTCTTTTTCTTCCGGGTCTTTTGAATTCTGGCGATCGTGGGTGCCTATTGGGATACGTCGCAATGAGTTCTTTCTTTGTGCATGTACATTTTGGAGACATCCCTACAAGCCCTGTGAAACTTTTGTCGATGGATAATAGTATGGGAATCGATATAGAAATTTGGGCGCATTGGCACTCTTGTGCAGAATTTTCTTTCAAACTTCGCAATTTTATTTCAGCTTTAGAAAGTAGGCACAACTTCAGTGGCATTTCTCGTAAATGTTTTGGTGCCTTTCTGATTTACGCGTATGCATCTCTCTACATTATGCTCTTGTATGCAATCCTTCCTTGCTCCCCCGGCCTCTTTCTTTGCGTCATCATCGGCAAATTGTAATTGTCTTCTTCTCCCTCCCTTCCTTTCTTCTTGATCCTGTTGAATCTTCATACTACTTCATACTACTTCCCCTAACCTCCTTTCCTGCCTTCGTCTAGACCAGAAAAGGACTTGTTGATCCCCTAAGTAATCGTAGAAGTCGGACGCATCGTGTAAGGAAGCTCTGAACTCCTCACTCTACGATATTTGGCTACAAAGTGCTCTGAGGGGATCGACATGGCCCTCCCATGTGCTCCCCCTTCTCCCCTTCCTCCCCTCTCCTATCCCGCATCATCACTCTCTTCTCATCTCTTTCGCAATTCTAATTCCTGCAAGCTCATCGTTTTTGCTCTCTCGCATTGCATCTGCCAACTCTGTAGGAATAGTGGTTAGATGAGGTGGTGATCGGTGAGTCAAAAAGCCATGACGAGTCGGTTGCAACTTTGCGGGATGACACGCTGGATCACTGCAACGGACTGCAGGATCTGGGGGAACACGCGTAGTAGTTAAGTGGACGGGGTGATGATCGCTAAGGTTTAACGCTAAGTATGTGGCGTTCGGGATCGCCAGTCCTCGAGCAAGGTGAGGTGTATTGATGGTTGGTTGGATGGCCTAGGGCCATAGCTCGAGCGTGGAAAGCTTTGTTTATTGTCCTCTACTTCCTCATTATCTTATAGTTGGAGTAAAGTATGTTGAGACGCCAGTTTTCATTTTCAATCAAAGGAGTGTATATTTTCTCTCTCCCTCTCGTTCTCTTCATTTGGATGAATGTATGAGTGAATGATGGTTGCATGTGAGTGCTTCGAAAAGAACAAAATAGACAAGTTTTGAGGGACAGCAGGCTCAACAGCATAGATGAACAATCCAAGCCGAACATCCTGTTACGACACAAACAAGTAATAGTAGATAGAAGTATTCAGTAAGCTTTGTCCTTTCAAAGGCACAGGAAGAGCAAAAATCTTCATGAGCTGAGCAACTTTAAGGAATGCCCATCCCAAAACCTTCAGTCATGCGCACGATTTATTCACGATTGTTGGCCTGTAGTGCTTCTAATCATACAAACCTACAAGTGGAATATTGTAATGGGAGAACTTACTGGCTCCGTTAATGGAGGTCGTGAAGGGTAGTCTCTAGGAAGGATCCTAACTACGAGAAGATCAAAAGAAAGCAGAAATCATCCATTCATCCATCATCGATACATCTACACCTTCATTTCGAAAGATCCACGCACGCACACAAGAGAGAGAGAGAGAGAGAGAGAGAGAGAGAGAGAGAGAGAGAGAGAGAGAGAGAGAGAGAGAGAGAGAGAGAGAGAGAGAGNAGAGAGAGAGAGAGAGAGAGAGAGAGAGAGAGAGAGAGAGAGAGAGAGAGAGCATATGCATCAACATCTGATAAATACATCCACCCTGTTGGACTTCGAAAACTTTTTCCTAAACTCATCCATTTCCTGGGTACTCGCCCCCCTTCGTGAAGAAATATCAGACATAAAAGTCACATTGTATTGCCCGATTTCCTCTAATACGCTGGTGGAGAACTGTCGACGCAGGGCACGAAGGATGGGTCTACGTGGATGAACCCCGAGAAGGAGGAGGGGTGAGAGGGTTTGGGAAGGGGAAAAAGGGGAAACAGTAGATTGGAATACCAAACCACCAGACCAATGGATCCCTCATAAATCAATGGAGGCGCATATGGACAAGACTGTTAACCTCTCACATCCCCCCCCAAAAAAAAAGGCGTACTCACCCACAGGCAACAGAGCAGGCCTGAAGCGGTAGGGACTGAGCTTCGAACAGAGCCCAAGCCTCAAGACTACATCACCCCATCAGAACTGGGAGAGATATGACAATCCCTGACCCCGAAGAAAAAAGCATACCCTGGCAAGCCCGAAAAAATACAGAACCAAAATTACCGAATCAGCCCCGAAAAATTAGATAATAAATTCCAGGTCATAGGAAGCGTGATAAAAACAGGG